TTATGGCAGAGGATACAGGACTAGGTATGCCCCACAAGGTCTCTCTGACAGTCCGATTAAGTTGCGAAAACGAGGTCGAAACAACATTAAAGCTAAAGGAGACTGCGAACAAACAAAGGCCAAACCGTCTTCATATCTACAATAATCCTTATACTTACATACTAACCAGGACAGAATATAATACAAAAAAAAAACGTAAATAATTTTTTTAAGAATACAATTATAGAGTAAATGGGAATATCTGCTTAAGTACAAAAAATATGGACAACTAGACACAAATTGGCATACTTGGTGTGAGTGGAAAGCGAGTCTGCGCCTGCTGTTGGGGAAGTGTATCAGACGAAATGAAGGATTGCTGTAATAATCCAGTAAAACGAGGAAGTATACCAGATTGAGGGTAATTCGGCGTCTGTTGAAGATGGATAAAGGGCTGAGTCCTTTGAATTTCAGCGGTAGCTGCAGCTGCAGGGATAGCAGAATAGTTAGTAGAGCTTGAACACAGATGAGGCAAAAATGAATCGAAATTCTGCTGAGGCCCTGTCAAAGCTGTGGGCGGAACAAGCATAGGATATGTACTGCGCATACATGGAGTATAGGAAATAGATGCAGAGTTGGCAATTCCATGATTGGTTCCAACGCCAGGGTCGGAGTAAAGGCCAGAGGAGTTTGGTAATTCAGACTGTGATAAATGCAAACTATTGGATGGTGCCTAGCCAGATAAGAAAAAGAAAGGACGAGAAAATAAATTTAATAAATTAAAAAATACCCAAAATAAAAAAGCACTGTTAGTCTGAGGCACAAGCAATAAATCCTCCATAGTTTAAACGTAGATACGAAGACCAAGATGCCGTTGCCCCTATTTCGATCGCAGTCTCATTTCGATGTATAGATGTGGTCTGACCTCGTTTTCGCAACTTAGTGAAGTTGTCAGGTCGACTTAGTTGGATGCACCTTGTCTAAGTCCTCTGCAATAGTAGTTATCATATTTCCATAAGTCGGACCGTGGACTTGATACATTCTAAGACATTTCACCGGCATAGTAGCCGTCATCGTCAATGAGTCTTGCCATTATTACCAGCACAATCCTTTGACTTTAATGGACAAGGAAAACAATTATTGGTGCTGGGAACGGCAAGATGATGCCGACAAAACATATGAGAATGTACCAAGTCTACGGTTCGACGCTTGGAAATATGCCAACTACTATATCAGAAGACTTTGTACAAGGTGTGTTCAACTAAGTCTCCCTGACAGCATGACGAATTTGCGAAAACGAGGTCAGGCAATCTCAATAAATTTTCTATTATTAACTCGTTCGAGTGATTAAATGAAACAAATATCACAGTCGAGAATGGAGAATGTGAATGTCTAAACGTACGAAAACATATTAAGGGGATGCAGAAAAATTGGAGTTCGAAGAATCTCTCAGGAGATTGATGTTGGAGTAGCTTCCGTTTCGTTAAAGAGGCGAGTGGAAGGGATCCGTATGTTGGCCTAACTTAAAGCTGTAGAGGTTTTGCCTTGGAGGTCTGACCAGATTTGTGTGGATATGTTCTCGGCGCATAACCCTGTGGTTCCGATGAATCCTTGCTGAGCTTTCGTCCATCACGTGACGGACATCCTTAGAAAAGGGCAGTATGCCGAGGACCTATTCGCACAAGTCTAAAGTCACAGCTTCAAGGCTGTGAGGTCAAGTTCCAGTGAGGCCAACTTACGAATACCAACAATTCGCCTCTTTAAACGAAATGAAAGATACAAGAAAATGAGGTGATGCTAATACAGAGTAACAGATAAATAATTTAGCAGCAAATTTAATAAGACAGATTCATGCAAGGTTTGAACATATCGGACCTTTAAAAGAAAAGATTTGTAGCTAGCAGAGAAATGTATAAATTGATGCAGCATAAAAATCTAGTCCCATAAATGAGTGAGAAAAGTTAAGCCTTAAGGATATACAGTTCGTGAAAAGAATTGACACTTTAAATTAGAGAATAAAAAGCCTAACAAACGCAATAAAAAAATACCTTATTGATTCTGAATAAATATTCATTCAAGATCAATAAGAGTAAAATACTCGGATGTAATTTGGTACATCTAGCTAGATATTTTGAGATTCAACTTCGCCAAGATAGCAAAAGTTATTTAAGTGACTAAGATTGTGAAAGGCTGTCGCCGTTTACTTCTGATAAATAACTAAGTTAATAATGGCTTTTAGTATATTAAGGTTTAAGACTCGAAAATGTTGTACTTTGTTAAGGCATAAGCCGATACAGGCAGAAATGAAATATGGGAAAGTATAGTTTATTTAGTCTTTAACTTGATAACCCAAGCATTCGAGGAATACTTAGTGATGCTATAGTATATTTACTATTAAATGCTTGAGGCAAATCGCGGGAAATAACTCCCCGATTAGCAAAGTAGCAATCTACAAGTGAAATCACTGGAGCGGAGAGAAAAGATACGGAATCTACGAGGGAAAAATAAATACTCTGATATAACCTGGATGAAGTGCAGAATGAAAGAAACAAGCTTAATTTATA